TGAGATGGCGCCATATATATATATATATGAAATTTAAATCACAAATTAAAGCGGAACACTATCATCTTGCAACTAAAAAATGCAATATGGTGTTTTGCAAGCATGAGTGCATAATTTAATCGGAAAATATAAATGCTATGGATTGCTCAGTCAGAAGAGTGAGAAGAAATCAGCATGCAAACAAGCACATTCCTTACAGATCAGTAAGTTTATTAACAGCTTAATTAGTATGTGATGGACTTCCAGAGCTATACCTGCTATTCTACTCTTCCCCTCTCCTTTATTTGCATTTGGGTAAACAGCACTGACAAAGGACTGTAGCATTTCTGTAGAGCAGTAGGTTTATCAAGTGCCCATGTGTCCTGTTTTTAGTGGCTGTGTTTTGGCAATAGTAATTTTACACCTCAATCCACACACGTTGAGATGCATAAGACTCAATCCAACAGTATCCTCTTTGTTCACCTAAATCACACCACAACCACATAAAGAAATAATAAGATCTCTTTAGCATGATTGTCTACTCTCACTCTCAGTCAACCAATCTCCCTCTGACAAAATGACTACTACTACTACCAAAGACGCACCTCTTGATAACATGTCCTGGTCTCCTTCATCAACAGGGTCACATTAGCTGACTCTTACCTCCTGCCAGCACCTAGTACTGGCTGTGAAGAAGCAGGACTTTCCCCACCCATCTTAACACCCCTTAAACTCGGTGCCCCAATTCATAAGAGACTTCAAACATGAACATTATTCTCACTCCCGGTCTAAAAGTTCATAATTTGATCTGTTATTTTCTTTCAATGGCTTTGGCTTCTGTTCAGAAAACATTGCACTCCTTCACCATTTTACGTCATGTAAAACAAAGCCCCTGGGTGTTTCCCAAGGAATGGGAATGCTTAGTGAACCCCTCACCCCACAGACAGTCAGAGGGAGAGAACCAGCAGCAAGACTCTCAGATATCTGCACCTGTCCATGCAGTGATCCTGAGGAGGTCCCTGCTGGGAACTTATGGGGTATGAAGAGAAGATTGTGAGCATTCAGAGAGAGATCCAGAGACAGCCAGAGAAGTAATAACTCAAATGACCTAAATAGCCTCTTCTTCAAACCAATGTAACTGTGGCATACTTCAGCCACTCTGGATTAAACATCATTAAATACAGTGGGATAAACTTTTGCTATTGCACAACAGGAAAAATCATCTTTTTGTAAATTAACAGAAAAATAGATACATAATTCAAAGCAAATGTTGCCTTGAGAAAAGTCTCACTACAACTTTTCTAGTTGAAATCAACCAGCAGATTACACAAATGGTTTGGATTTTTGGACATAAGGTCATAAGACTTACTCACTTGGAGTGCTGCTAGTCCATAGACATCTGGGAATAGTATGAATCAGGTAAAACAGACATCCCACAGCCAACCAATGGTGTTGCCAGACCCAAATGAACTGCAGTAAATCAGACGGACCTAACAGAAACCTTTAAGCCAGAACACATGACAAAGTGTCTGTACACAATGCTGCACAGAAAAAAGCTAGCATCAGCATGCTAACATGCTTACAGTGAAAATGCTAACACGCTTATGTTAAGCAACATTAATAATGTTCACCATCTTAGTTTCTGACAAGCTGAGATAGAGATGTGGAAAATGGTGACTGTATGGAGGGAATGCAATTTTCACTTAGAGAAGTTTCCCATGGACTACAGCTTTTAAACATTTAATCCCTCAGACAGTCAAGATCTCAATTACCAGTGTAACTAATTATAAATGTTGAATTGGCCATGTGTGCATTTTCCAAATTAGGATTAAATAAGAGTACCTTTGAGTGATGCAATTCCTCCATGTTTGCTTTTCAGACACTCCCACTGAAGGAGCAGGAGGTTGCTGTTGGGGAACAGGATATTATGCTGCTTTGCTCCCTGGCCAGAATAAGTGACTTGACAATGATTGGATGAATGCAAATATAGCTAGATAATGTGGATTAATGCTAAAGCATTATATTTATTCATTTAGCTGATGCTTTTATCCAAAGTGACTTACAATTGCTATACATCTCCAAAGTCACACACCTCTGGAGCAACTAGGTGTCTTGAATCCAGGTCTCCCACACCAAAGGCAAGCATCTTATCTAAGCGCCATTACCAGCCCAAAGCAACACGCACAAAAATGTGCAAGTGAAAAAAGATTTAACAGAAGTAACAAACAAAGTCACTGGTCAGTTTTTTTTTTTTTTTTTGCTAATGAAGACATTCTTTGAAAAGTGTTTTTTTCATTTATGTTGTATTTGGCCAATGTCTTTATTTAATTTGCAATGTCATGGTGTAGAACTCATGATAATCTGCATTAATGATCAGATTATCATTTTATAAAAAAGAAAATGTTTAGGAATCTCATAAAAGTTCTTAAATTGTTCATACTCATAAGAGAAGATCAAGTTGGAGCGGACATTTATCTAAAAACAAAATTTATTTGACACTGATGAATCCCATCTGAACAGGACAAGATGATGATGAAAAAATCCAGGAAGTAACAATTAGTCAGGCTACATTCATTTAAACCCCACTTGTCTGACCTGTTGATAGTAATTTCTGAGACTCCCCTAGGGTAAACAATCTTGCTTAGCGTCTTCCGGTACAGGGTACATGTTTTCATTAAGCTAAAGGCCTCCCTTCGTACCCATTTCCTCTGCTGTCATGGAGGGGTGCCGGATGGGGGAGCTGATTAGATAGTGACAAGCACACACATTGGCGCCTTCTCATGTGGAGCTCTTTTGGTGTGGTGCAGTTAAGGGTTGAGCCAACACTGTTGTGCTGAAATGAATCAAACCTGTCTTAGCATTGCACTTCTGAGTAATGGGAGAACTTTTTGCCTCAAGCCAGTCACTGAACCAATTTCTCCATCAGTTTAGGCCAATAAGTATACATTATCAAGGAAAATGTCAACTTCTGTGATATATATATATATATATATATATATATATATATATATATATACACACACATTGAGATAAGCAACTCATTATTTTGAAATACTAACTCATTATATTGTGATACTAAGTCACTGTTTTGAGATACTGACTCATTATTTTGAGATAAGTAAGCCATTATATTGAGATACTAACTCATGTTGACATACTAAGTCATTATTTTGAGATACTAATACATTATTTTAAAATGCATAAGTAATTGTTGTGAGAGTTTCTAATTATTTTGAGATAGGCTACTAAGTCATCATTAGATACTAAGTCATTGTTTAGAGATATCTTGAGAAGCTCATCGTAATGACTTACAGAATCACAGTGGTGGAAATGGATTTCCACACTAAGTAATTATTTGAGAAGGTTTCTCATTATTTTGGGAAGCTAAGACATTATACTGAGATACCAAGTCATTATTTTGAGAAACTAACTCATTATATTGTGATACTAACTCATTTTGAGGAGGTTTCTCTTTATTTTGAAATTCTAACTCATTTTTTCAAGAAAGTAGCTACACATGGTCAGCGTATACCTTGCTAGCAATCTATAGCCAGTGCGTGTACCGTTAGAAAACTGTTTATGGCAAATTAAAACAAACTGCACAAACTTTATGAGTCAAATTTGAGCTGGTCTAAATTGGAGTTCCAGTGTTTTCATGAGACACTCTCAAAAATCACAAATTGCTTTCCACTGTTTACTTTTTAAACCTGCAGTAATTGATTTTTTGGGACAGTTGGAGACAGCAGAAAGAAGTTGTGAACACTGACACATTTTCACCATACAGATAAACAATGGGCTAAAACTCACTATAAAGCACCATCAAGAACCTGCAAAGTGAAGGTGATAGTTCTCTGTAGGTCCATCACTACGACCCTTTCACATTGTTCTAACATTGTCATTTGATACAATGTTATTATAAAAATATAGATTATTGCCTTTTTAATCAAGCACAAATATCTTGGCCACAAACAGCCATAGAAAGTAGTACGTAAGGAACAGCAGTGTTTGGATAAGGGTGCACACTCACTTTTAAAGGTGCTCAATAAAATTGCAGAATGACTGTTGTTTAACTAGAAAAAGTTGGTATATTTATTGCCATTCATTTCAGGCGCCCTAATCCCATCTAGAATATATTTATACCTCTGCATGGAGAAAAAAATAGTATCTCTCTCTAGTCAAAACGTATAAATGAGACAACAACGTAATAGCCCCCATGTTGCGCTTTGTGCAGTGTACAAACGTATCACTGCTTTTGAGGCTAAGTGCAGGCGACAGCACCCTAAAGCAGCCTCTCCCTTTGCTAGTTACCAGCCAGTGGTGTGCAGCCTTACTTATTCAGGTCACGTAAAAGGGAGACTAGCCACCAGGAGCAGAGAAAAATACATGAAATGTCTGTTCAAATAGAACTACAGGAAATGTGTGCTATATACGTTTTCATCACCGACTGAAAATCTTACCCTTTCGCTAAAGTGACACGCTGTGCCTTTGATCTAAGCTGCCACATGCTGAAAAGCTAGATAAGGGTCATATGAAATTCCGTATGTCAGCTCAGGCTGCTTGGAGCCAGTGGAGCGGTAGTAAATTAGTGGTACAGGGAGATATAATTGGACAGAATGGGATACAGAGGGGGCTGGCGCTGGAAACGTGTTATTAGCCTTTTGTTGTTTTGCAGTCTACAGTTGGAGAATCGTGAATGAACTTTTGAACTCATCTGAGAGCAGTTTGTGAAATGCCCACAGCAAATTCTTGTGGAGTGAGGACTCAACATTAAATAGGTGCTCTGCTGCACCCGCGCTGGTGGACTCATTTGTTTTAAAGCAGACACTGGGGGGGAAAAAAAGAGAACACACACAACACATTGTTAAAATCTTTCTGTGAATGTTTACAATTGCAGAGTTTCTGTAGCTTGGGGATGGTTGGTAATCCGTGCAGTGACAGAATATGCCACTGGTGCATAATCAAGCAGTCCTGCATTGATTGAATTTCATAAATATCTCACCACTAAATATTCCAGGACCACACTCATTTGAAATCTTTATTAATAATGTATTATCAGTAGCAGTATTATTAATGTATTTTACACATTAAGCCTTGCACTGTCTTGCCTTTGAATATTATTTCCAAATTCCAAATTGATGTAGGCCTACCGTCCGAAGAAGTGAGGTGTGACAGAGCTTACAAGAGCGAGAAGGTTACTCTGTGTCAAGGTTAAGGGAGGCTGCCGTAGACAAAATTGTGAAGATCATCATGTATTTCATAAAAGATGTTGAAATATTTAGAAAAGTATTCAGAAATCACATGGAGGATGTTAAAATGCACGATCAAGAGTCAACCTTTTTTGCGTGTTTTACTAGAACACACTGTTCTGTTCATGCTGTGCAGGGTATTAATCTAGTGTAACTTTCTTCATACATTATGAGATACAAATATACAGTGACACAATAAAAGATGATATTGAATTATCACCCAACCATCGTTTGGCCAATAATGTGTTTCATTTGTTTTAACTGCCCGAGAGGTCAAGATGAGACCTAATAGGAAAAAATAAATGCGCATGAGGGACACAGTACTATTAAACAAATATTTCACACCATCTTCTATTTCAGCTTTTAATATGCAACGTATCTGCAAACTGCTTTCTTTCAGATGAGGGCAGTCCTTTTTGATATATATACTTTTTCTGTCTATACATTTGAAATGGGCTGCTGTACTGAACATTTCTCCTCACAGTCTCTCTGTAAATGTATTGCTCACAAGTGGGATTGGATCATTTGTATTAATCAGGTGTTATCACATAGTTTTAATAGACTTTTCTAAAACTACTCACTAAAAAAGGGATAGAGGACCTGAATGACCTAAAACTAAAAGCCTGTCTGTTCCTTGTGACAGTTACTGTGGGGACCCTTTTGGCAGACTTGACTTTGACACTTAAGCCACATTTTTATACAGTCAGTGAGACAAACATGAAGGATATTAAACACCACAGTAATGTTTTAAAAAATTCTGCTATGTGGATTTGCTTGTGTGGTTGAAGATTGAGGACAGGACCTTTAATAACCTGGTCAGAAAACTACATGCACATATAATGGAGTGAAATTATGAGTTGTGCTTCTTATTTACTGGCACATTTACTTTAGGTGTAGTACTGCGATATAAAAAACAGTTGTGCACATCGAGTGTATGCAGTAAACATGGACCACTGGCAATTAACAATCCTTGGGCTGGGCCAAACTTCACACAAAATCCAAAGGGAAAACATGTGTGACAGTGTGTGCGCAGCAATATTGTGCAAATAGTAAATAGAATTGACGGCTGGTGCTGTGCTATACTGTATTAGTTTGCAGATACACAAAGACAGCAACATTGTCTAATTCAGTAAAATAATTTAAAAGAAACATTGTGTGTGTGTATATATATATATATATATGTGTGTGTGTATGTATATGTGTGTGTGTTTTTCACATCCACAGAATAAAACACAACCAGTTACATTCAAACAGCAGTGTGGAGTCAATGTGTCAAGACTAGCAAAGTTAAATACAGCACAGTATGAACAAAAACTACAGACATTGTCCTTAACGCATTTGTCATCATTTACAACATGTCACCAAAGTGCCACTGAGGACAACACGAACCCTTTGGAGAGTCATATAAAAACATTTCACACATAAATACACAACTTAAATGGTACATAAGAGTTACTACACTTGCCAAAAGTCTCTGGCTTTTCCACGGTTGTGATGAAATTACTCTAGCTTCATAAATGCTTATGATGCATCACTACAGAGTAAATGAAAAGCAGTACTGTCACAGACATAAATGTAGACCGTATAGTTTATGATTAAAAAGAAACTATCCTGCAGATTTGACATAAAAAAAAGTACAAACTGTATGCGTGACACACCAGCCGGATTTTACATGATACCTGTTGCTTAGAAATACTGTGAATATATTCCTGTATCTGAAAAGAACCATTTAGCTCAAACATTGGCAGCTAACAATACTTTTTAGGTTTCTTTAAAATATGTCACTGTTCCCTGTGTGTATAATCAAGTGCTTTAATTAACCTTAGTTGTGTTAAAGACTGATGAGAAAAGTTAAGGTAAAGCTAAAAGTTACTTGGAAGGTGGTAATTTTGGACTGCACGTGAAAGATTAAAAAATGTGGTTATCCGCCTCATACTCAGAGAATTACTGTATCCAAAGGAACAGACAGAAAAATATTAAATAAACATGGAAATTGTGACACTTTGGTTTTCAGTACTCTGCATTATATAATAAAATTGAAATAGTAAAGATAACATGTCCTTTATAAAGACTTATTTCTTTCAGTGAATATATGTATGTCTGTCCTGATACTAAGGCATGGATAACTTACACAGAATGAAGAGGTACTATTCTTTCTTCACTTTCAAATACAGACAAAATAAAAAGGTGACAGAAGGCTGATGGCAAATAATATGGGCAGACAGATACAGTAGCTTTCCCACCCCTCCCTTTTTGATACACAGTAGAACAAACAACTTCATTATCAGCGTCCCACACACTGTCACATAAGACGGTTGCTTCATGGTTGAATGCTTCTGAGTATAATGCACTCATAAATACTGTATATATAAATCATGCACGCGCACGCACACACACACACACACACACACACACACATTCGCACGAGTTATAAAAATATTTACATCAGCCGATAGTGACTTATGTTCCCAGCATTGTGGACAATGTGTTAAGAAATGTTCTAAAATGAAGGAAAAGTAAATAAAGGTTTTGGGTTTGGGTGAATGAAATGACAGCATAACTGTAAATAAGTGCAATGACCACCTTTAGATACAGTCTGCTTTAGCTAAATGCTTTACAAAGAATGGTTATTTTTTGCAGTTTCTTCATCTGAGATGTGATGATATCATCACATGTACTTGTTGAATAAGGCTGTGTTCAGACTGACATTAGCTGTGTCGCAGCGGGCTCCGCAGAAAGTTTTAACTTTCCTTTTTCACATCGCCTACTGTTCACCTCACAATCATTGAGACAGAGCATAACTTTTTTTTCCTCAGTATTATAATTCCCTGGTGTTTTGTGTTTGATCAGTCTTGAAGGATATGTTCGGATTGTGTCAAGTCTATCTTAATACAGTACTCGCATGCACGCCGGGAGAGTTGTTGGCCACTGAAATTGCACCAGCCGAAGCTAATGAAGCATCAGCTGTGTGAGTTAACCTAATAAGATGGGTACCTTCTCAAGTATTGGCCTTTTTATTACAAAACTCTTTCAAAGGTGTGTGAGTATTGCATAAAAATGGACTTTATGGACCTTTAAGAGTCACGGATGTTTCACTCCAACTGCCGTTCCTGGATTGTATTTGATTTTCTTACTTGTTTCCTACACCAACGCAGCCCCCTGCAGTTTTAACACAGTGCTGTTTTCGGTCTGAACACCCGGTAATGCTTATATACTGGTTATATCTATGTAATTTGAAAAGAGTAAGGCTAAAGACAACAGTGAATGGGAATGTGATGCATATATGTTCAGAGCCAGGTCTTCAGATTTCACTGTTACATTCGAGTGTAATGACTAGATACCCAAGTACACGTGATTTCATGATGGCTTCTTGGTGATAATACAAAAGATGCACATGTCAGTAAGGATCACTTAAACACGCTCAAACATTAGCATGATGAAATCTCTAAAAATGAAGCCTGCAAGCTAACGGTACGATTCTGTAAATCATCTGCATTAACTACACACATGGAAACAAACACTGAAACAAACAAGATTGAAGGTTTATATGAAGCTGGCAACAAGTCATATTGGTATTTAATTGACTATTTTTGAAGAAAAAAAAAAGTAGAATGTCGACGTTAATAAATACTGTATGGTATTTATTTAATTTTCATTTAATGAACAAGAATATGTTCAGATAAATTAAGTTTAACATGTGAAAGATATAATATAGCTTTAATATATTATTACGCACCTGTTAGATGTCCTTCTGTCGTTCTGATTTTGTACTGAAAATAAAAAAGAAATGAGGCAAAGACTTCTTGGTTTGGCACTAACCATGTCAAAAGAATTTACAGTGTAACCAAAGGCTGTTTGTGCACAACATGATCCCAGAAGGACAGTCAAGCAGTTAATACTCATCCATTTCAAAACCATTTTGTGGTCAGGCAGAAAGATCGCAACAACATTGTGATTCTCAGAATGCATCTTAGTCCAAGTGAAGCAGTTCAGTTGAAATCTGTAGAGAAAGCACAGCTGTTTCGAGTTCACCATACAGTCCTGTTAAAGGGGCCTGTGTCGGTGTGAAAGAGAGGTGACCGCTTCTTCAGGTGGGCGAGAGCCTGGGTAGAAAATCTTTTTCCTCACGCATTGCTTCTGACATTGTATCTATAGGAATATGTGAGTTGTTGTTCTCCCTGGTTGCCATGGAGCTCCGAACATGCTGCAGTTGTTAAAGAGGGGAAGGGGGAGAAAGGGCTTGGGAAGAGTGCTGTCGTCAGGCGAAGGGGCTGTCTGACTTTAAGATAGAGGCGTCGGCGTCGAGGTAGCCCTTGCCGTTCATGTGTTCTGTGTGGCCGTCGATGCTGTAGCAGCCTTGTACCTCAGTGATGGAGGAAGCTGTGTAGGAGGCTGAACGCAGGGCATCGGAGTGGTTTCCTACACTGCTGCCAAACTGGATATGATACTGGTTCCAGTGCCTCCTCAGAACTGCTTGGACCTAACCACAGAAACCACATTTCACATATGAATCATTTCAATCAATCAGTCAGTTAATCTTTATTTGTATAGCACTTTTCATACAAAAGCCATGTAACACAAAGTGCTTCACACTATGAAAACAAAGACAATGACAATAATGCCACCCCCACCCTCGTCCACACGCACAGACACACATAGAGAAAGAGAGAAAGAAAGATTTAAAGTAAAAGACAATAAAGACATGAGGTGAGGAAATGCTATCATGATTGGCCACTAGGAGCATAAAACTCAAATTTGCAATGAGGGAACACTAGAGGCAGAGCAAGGTATTAAAAAAAAAGTAAAATGTAAAGTCTGAACAGATCCCTTACCATCCAGTGCAAAACAAAAATTTTAAGACTAATAAAAGCTGCGATGAAGGTTATGGGAAAGAAAGACTACACTTCCCTTCAGTCCATCTTTGAAAAAATGGTCTCCCAGCACAATTCTGAAGGACCCTTTACATATTTTGCACTCTGAGTATGACTTCAGGGAAACGTGATAGAGCTAGCAGATGTAAAAGTAACCGCCATAAGCTGTCCTCTTCATCCCTACTTCCATAGCACTCCTAAATACACAATCTGCTCTGAACAAGGTGGCTTGAAGCACTTCTGGCACTTTATTTATTTTTAAGCATAGTTTAATACTGATGATCACTTGCATTAATGTTTCCTAACAAACGGATCTTAAATGAGTTTTTTTATTAATTAATTAATTTTTATTTTAGAAATGCTGTGGTTGTAATTTTAGTGTTTGTTATATCGTTTACAGCTTTATGAGCTCAAGTGCAACTGAAAAAAAACAGAGGTTTCATATCATTCAGGTTCTACTTCCTTGTAATCAATTATTGACAGGTCTAGTGTCTCGGATACTTGTGCAACGTAATGTAAATGTTTGGTGCAAGTCCATATGTGCTATGTAGCCTTATGCAGCAATGATGCCCGAGACAGATTTCCCTTAAGGGACTATAAAGTTGATCTTGATCTTAAAATAAAGGTAAATAATAACAATAAAATGATAAAGGAAAAGAAAATAATAAAGATAAGATAATAAAAGTAATAAAAATAAACGAACAATAAAAGAATCAAACAACTTATTAGTAAAACAGACTAAAATTGAAGTGCATAGATGTATAAATAGATACATAAATAAATTAATAAACTGATAAGTAAAACAAACAACTAAAAGCTATCAATATATAATAAAATTAAACTAAAAGCCTGGTTAAAAAGGTATCTCTTTAGTTTGCTTATAAAATATTTAAATTTGATACAGAACTACACTGTATGCATTTAAGTAAAAGGTCAATATTTTGGGAAATACACTTTCTTTCTAAGAGTTAGATGAGAAGATCATCTATCTTGACGCGAACATCAGTTTCACGTCTGCGTACACTAAGGTATCTTTAAATGATTGAACCTCAGGTGCCACTGAACGCCATTTCAAGCTGGTGTCCGTGCTTAAGGAGTTGGAGCTGAGACATGGTTAGCCTAGCATAAAGGCTGGAGGCAGGGATGAAGAGCTAGCCTGGCTCTGTCCAAAGTGAAAAATAAAAAGCCTACCGAGCCGACTAGTTAATAAGCTTTATCTCTTTTGTTTAAATGTAGAATTCATTTGTGGTTTAAGGAGGGATTATGACCTGGTGAACAGCCAGGTGCAGCATCCCAGAATGTTGTCACATTAAGCTAGCCACCCTAACCACCATATATGTCAACCTGCACTATAGCGGCACAGAAATAAATGCTAGATGTATGGATGCAAATATTTCTCCCTCTGAAACTACAAATCGTATTTTTTACAATTCTGTTTTTTTTGTATAAATAGAGATAGGTTTACATTTGAAGCTTTTGGACTCTTGTTGTTTTGTGATTTTGATCATACGTATATCTTCAAAATGTTTCTGTTTTTCTGCAAATTCTCTGCAAATTCTCTCTGAAGCGCTCTGTGACAAGCATGTTATGATCAAAGATCTGTATACATACATTTCATGTGCCTACATTCCTTTTTTTTTTTTAAAGTCATACAATATGCAATCCAAAACACTGTTTCTTTGAGCATATAATGAGCTCAGGATCATTATAAGTGCTTTTATACAAACTTTAAATCTAATTATATGAGATAGCAGTAAAGCTCAACTATGTGTTAACACATCTTCCACAGACAATCACTTCAGAACAATCTGTATACAGATCAATCACCTGCATAATTGAAAGAAATCTATGTAAAGTCCATGGCTGCTTGTCAGTAAATTATTTTTATTTCTCAGCAAAGCCTGAGCGAACTAAGCCATTCAAGACAACTCGCCATCCTGCTCAGAGGGTCATGCGGAGGAAGTTGCCTAATCTATCTCTGATCACAAAGGGGAAGTGTGGATGAGTGCGAGTATGTGTGCATGCAGGTCTTAAAAAAAAAACACAGTGAAAGGACATAACCCCATCTTACTTCTCCGTTGAAAAAGCAGAAGATGGTGGCCACCAGCAGACCCTGAAATTCAAAAAATGAAACGCATGAAAAACACACACGATGGTACACCTAAGTAACTGGTCTAATGCAACAATCAGTTGTTTGTAGGTGGTATTTTAAGATCAGAGAAACTTCAGAGATCAAATTCAGAGATCAAATTCGGCCCGTTGCTCAAGACTTTCTCCCTGCACAGCCCACGCCGGGACAGCACAGGATGATCAGATAACACCTCACAAACATCCAAGTGATTTCAGCCCCCTTTCAGCTCAGATAATACATGCCTTCCTTCCTGTCATTCTTCCCTGCGCCTCAACATAAACAAAGTCCCATCAGAAGATCAGGGGAATGCTTGGCTTTTACTGAAAGCTAAGAAACTAATGAGGTTTATGTCCAGGCAACAGTTCATTTTGGTAAATGTGTCTAGCATTGAAGGAAAGAGCCACTGACCTATAATCAAGTTTCATAATAAATCATATACATGTTACAAGGACAACAGAGCTTCACAAATGGTGCACAGGAAGCTGCAGTGCACACAATTTCATTCTAAAAATATACTCTGGGTATGCATTTAGACAGTATGGCACAATGTACAGCTGTTTATGCAATTTTTATTTTAGATTTTTAAGATTTAACAATCACTCAGCCACAAGTCAAACCTTCAAGCTGACCTCTGGCTATCACCTCACCTGGTAATGCATCAGTATGTGCATGATGTAGTCGTAGATTTCAGAGGAGACCCGCCCCTCTGGCTTGTAGGGAAGCAGGACATACTGAATTCCCAGAAGAGGCACCAGGATGAGGGTGGCTCTCACAGCTTTCATGTAGAGACTAGACTCCGCTTGATGGGTCACCTTCAGTTTGGTGATGAGCACTCGCACAATGTTTAGTAGAAAGAACAAATTGACCTGGAGGGGGAGCAGCAGAAGGGAGGCCATCAATAAATCAGCATTACATTTTGGCTATTGTCTGCTGGTTAAAGACTTCCTTGGGATGAGTTGTAAATCCATCCCCTAAATACCTATAAAAATATGTGCCAATGAATAGAACCTTTAAGCAGAAATAAAACCCTGAGAAGACAGGACCAGGACAAGCCAAAGGTACAATGAACATGATTATATTTTATATTTACTGGTTGGAAAACAAATCTATGGCAGTCTGTATAAACACTATAACTGTTTTAGGCACATACTAAATGTTTGGCCTGTAATAACAAATGATTTCATCATCATTTCATTCCTACGCTTAGTTAGGTTTAAACAAAAAATCAATTATGAGCAAACAACCACAATTCTTTTTATGCACAGGCAAACCTGAACTAATCATTGTAAAGGTTATTTGAGCTCTGAACATTTTGTCCTGCGAGAGTCTCAAGGGATCATTTTTCTTTTAAGCATCCCTTGGCTGTGCTGATAAGGTAAATTCCCAGAATGCAACATTGGCTTGGGCACCAGTGGGCAGATCCTTTGAGGGCCAGATGCATTGATTTCACAAGATAAACGCAATTACGCACGCTGTGAGACTGTGTCCTGTTTTCAGGCCCCCCACAGTGTCCACTCAGAAGGAAGCAAAAGCAGACTTTGTTTTTGCTCATTGCGCAATAAAAGCAGTCAACCGAGAGAAACGTGGAACAAATCAGTTAGTTTACTTACTAGTAAATAGACATTAGTGTGATTTACTTTGCTGTAACCGACTGGGGCCAGGAAAAAGACAGAAGCTTCTTACCAACAGAGCAGCACAGATGGGACCATGGATGATGTAGAGGAGCGATGTTTTGGAGCTAATCCAACAGCTACAGCAGAGCAGAAAGGACAAGAGGGAAACGTTTACACAACAGTATTAATGGCTCATATGATAACTTGGCCATGATGCAGATCAATGGGTCTTCTTAGAAATGAACTAGCATGAACAGTTCAGTATGGGGACCGATAAAAGATCCTGTCAGCGAGGTCGAATGCTTTGTTCAACTTTGCAAAATGCAGATAACCAGAAGAAAAATCATTTTAGATATTCTGTGCTGTGTTTTCTGAATATACTGTGATCTAACATCATTGTATTGTTATGTATACAATTCACCTGGGTTGTTTGCCATTTGTCATTCAATATATTTTTCTATATTTTCCAGAATCAAATTCAAGTCACTAATGCTTTCATACAGAGTGACTACTGGGTCTGCACCATCTACCTAAACTCCATAATACAAACTTTGGTTCCTTCTCGGCCGCTACGCTCCTCCAACGAACGCCGCCTGGCTCTGCCATCCCTTCACACAAAGCAATCCCAGTCCTGGCTATTCTCACCTCTCTCTAACTTCAAGAAGCTCTTGAAAACTCATCTCTTCTGAGAACACTTCCTCTTATAAAACCTCTAACTCCTAACCTCTAACATGCACTTCCTGTGCTCTTCTTCTATCCCCTACAATTATCTTGTATTGATTGCACATTTTTTGTATTGACTGCACTTTTTTGTTAACTCTTACTTCTTTCCCTAGGTATTTACCCCATTGATGTGAGATGTACTATGATCTCTTACTAGTATGTATTGTCAGTTATAGATCTGTAGTTGATGCTCTGTTGATGCTTGTATGTTGTTCCTCAAATGTAAGTCGCTTTGGATAAAAGCGTCTGCCAAATGAGTAAATGTAAATGTACTTATATTTTTCTGAGCTGTAGCCAAATATTAACTGTTCTGGATCATGCACTTGAATGCTTACTTGTCGTTGTAGTAGTAACTGCGAGCAACAGCATGTATGGTGGCCGGAATGAGAGGAAAGCCTGCAAAATAAATACATAAAAATAGTGAATTACAGTTTCAGTTTAAGCTATTAAGACTCTTTAAAGTACAATCCTGTTTTGATACATTTTATACTAATCGTGTACTTACAACTTCCTATACTGCAAAATTACCTGAAAACAAATGATTGACTTTTTTCACAGCACAAAGAGTGACTACCATTGACACACGACATTGTACTGACTTACCCCAGCCTAAAAGATAGTACCACATCAGGTGCTGCTTCTCGGCAAACACAGCCACCACGATGAGAGTGTGCAGGTAAATTCCCTCACACAGCATCCAGAAGTAATTGCAGCCAAACAGGTACAGATGAATGAACTGGGACACTTTACAGCTCGTCTGAGGAAGAAAAACACACGTAATGAATGTGAATGGTGGCTGTTACATGTTCTACTGTGCTTCTGTTGCTTCCTTATGCAGTGATTTCACAGTTGTGTGAAATAAATCAATCAATCTAGCTATTATAGAACCAAAGCAGCTTTCACTGATTTCTGTGTAAATGCTGAAACTAGGATGACAAAATGAACAGTTTAAATTTATTCTCACACTGGTGGAGAATGATATGAATGTAAAAATAATTACTATAATAATAACAAAAAAAAACACTCACTGGATTCCTCTGCACCAGCTCCTGGTTGTTTGCCACTGCTGTCAACCAAATGATGGTGATCACAGAGTTCAGAACGAAAGAGAAGAAGAGGTTTTTGTGAAGCGTGATCCTTTGGCAACTTAAACTCCTGCAAGAAGAGAAAAGTGACATTTACATCACATGCTATTCATTCATGCAAAACCCCAGAAATATCTGTGTGTAAAGCATGGTAAAAGGAGGTTTGCTGCCTCACTTGAAATGGAAGAATATTCCGAGTGAGATGAAGAGGGAGGTCAGTGACAGTCCATGTCCTATTAGAGCTAAGTAGAAAAGATTCATTGCAGTCTGGAAGGAAAAAAAGAGACACAAATGAGATTATCTGGGTCTCCTAACGACTGCTCATGTTGTGAGACGATCACGAAGAGAACGTTACCCTTTACTGTAAAGGACAGTAAATCATGCTATTTCACAGTTAAGTTACTTTGAATTGAAAATGTGTAACTCAGACCAGCTTTTGTTCTGGATATTCATCGTCCCACGGATCATGATGAAATGTTAAGATTCTGGTGACATCTCAACCTTTCATGAAGTGCTTTCCCACTGACCAACACTTTATCAGTGTTAGTACAGTATACGCTGCAACGGCCAGATTTCCATTTGCTCTTTAACTTTAATCTCCAGATGATAAATTGTAATGTTTGACCTTTCTGCTGCCACCGCCTTTAAGCCAAAACGTCCACCTACACACTGTACATGTCACAATAAGTAGATCACCATCCAACTGGAGGCACCCAGAGGCATCTGCACAGGATAAACCATTCTGATTTAGTTTCATTGCTTTAATGACCCGCCACCTGCAGGACAAACTGAACTTGTTTAGCCCCATTACATTTATTAAAAGGTCAGTGCTAACCGTGACTCAGTTCTTTACATTGTGTATGCATTGAATGCTATTTCATGAAGTGACCCACCACTCTGCCTTCATTGGTGTGTTCATTGCAGCGGGTGTAGTTCGTCCAAGTCCGGTTGCTCTCTGGATGCAGGAACCAATGGCCGCTGTCAGTGCAAATCTTTGTAACCATTTCTGCAGGTGAGAATGATACGTACATTTTTTTATATAGTATATATATAGTCTTATCCTGTAGAGTAGACAGAATCTCAGAGGATATTTATTATTTGCAGCAAAGCAGTAAGTAAAATGTAAAACCAAAAGTCAACAAGAAATTCCCCATTTGACACACAACCAGGCTGTTTAAAGAGAGATTCAGTAGTTATCCCCCGCAGCCCCATAACTTTGAAATCAGGTTCTGAACCTCCGTGAAACAAACAAACACATCATTAGACATGAAACTAGTGAGGGCTGTGATTAGCGGGACTGAATCTAATTACATATCTGCATATCCTGTTGAAGGATGTGATATACTGTTTAACCCCCGTACTGCAGCATCTACACTGGCTCCCTGTTCCCCATCCTCCTCACCCACAAAGCCCTCCATAACCAGGCCCTTTTCTACCTCACAGACCTGCTTTGACGCCACATAATACCTCCGCAACTCCGACACAAACCTCCTCTCCCCAACACTGAGGACCAAGCGTCGTACCTGGGGTGACCATCGTAGCCCCCTCCCTCTGGAACTCGCTACCCAGACACATCTGTGAGTGTACTGACCTGGGCACTTTCAGATCAATCATCAAAACCCACCTCTTTAGATTAGCCTTCAAACTCCAATAATATTACATTTCAGCTGATACTTTTAGGATCTCCACTGTATTTATGAATTTTGTAAAATGTATTATTATTATTATTAAGTTTTGGCTCTGAATCTTCCAGCAATGAAAATGACTTTACTGTTATAAACACATAATTCAGGCATATCCACCACTTTACACATGGAAACACAATTAATAGAAGCCCAAACAAGCTTGCATAGTCAGTTTAAGACACTTCAATGAAAAAATATAGCTATCAAGTTGCATCATGGGAAGGGGAGGATCCAGCACTTTTGGAGCTTGACCCTTAAAGTCAGCATTTCTCTGTGTCCGCTGCTCCAATCTTGACCATCATCTCATTTATCTGTCTCTGAAAAGCCTCCCAACTTTTGTGCAGTACTAAATCTTTTACCACTTTAAAGTAAATAAATCAATCTAGCTATTATAGAACTAAAGCCCCTGCAGCTTTTACTGATTTCTGTGTAATATGCTGAAACTAGGATGACAAAATGAACAGTTTAAATTGATTCTCATATTGGTGGAGAATGATATGAATGTGGTGGGTAACAATGCACTTTGCCACAGATCTTACCTGAAGGGTCAAAATCCTGGAAGTAGTCCGGGCAGTGCTGCTCTGAGGAAACACCTGCCTTGGTGTCGTCCCAACACAGCCAGCCATCCCAAGTGCGATTACACATGGGCTCTGACATCACAGGAAAGGTGTTAGGAGCTATGTTGTGTCAGTGAGATTTTCCAAATCGTTAAAAATAATCAATCAATGAAACTACACAATATTTGTACTTATTATTTAGCACAGAGCTATTACAACAATCAAATGCAATCAAACGTAGGATTTTACGAGCACTGTATTCCAGCTACTTCTTGCCGCCATTTAGTCTAGACATTGTTAGAGTTCAGAAACATGAAACATAACAAGCTACCTTCTCTGCTGTGGGTACTGTCCTTCATTATCTTTTGATAGCACTCAAACTGTGCAGTAACTATCTTGTTCCTGGTGACGCCCATGTCGTGGTAGACGTTGGTTGGATGATGCTGCTGGGTTTCATTGACCTCCAGGCTTGCCTTCACAAAAAGCTGCAAGGAAGGAGAGAAGAGGTGAATAAATCTGTCCAAAGATGTCCTGTCTCACAGAAGTTACACTGGGCATGAACACCACAGTACAGTCAATCAATTACCAATGACTGTTTTACTGTTGTGCATATGACAATAACTTAAATATTCAGCAGATAATATGTTATTTTGAAGACTATTCTATGTTATTCTGCATGACTCTTTTTTTTTTTTTTACTTCTGCATGACTCTTACCAATTATTAAGCTTTGATGGAAGATTATATTATTAGAGTATTCCAGATCCGACTCCTTTAACATTTATTTACAAGTTAAAAAGGACCAAAATGTAGATTTTTGGAGCAAAAACTGAGCTTCATTTCAGGAAAAGCCTGTGCGTGCAAGCAAGGGTCTGGACCTGCTGTGTATTCTGACACTGTGGGGATGTATTAAAGCAAGGCCGTCATTATATCCTCCTCAGGACGCCAGGAAAGGGAGCCTAACATACACAAGCTTCCATTAAATCCATTTGTGCTCCATGGAAAATATGACATCTCTGATATACTGCCAAACAGATATGTCTAGCTTATTTAATCCACAGCAGATACCAACCTGAAGCTGTTTTTATAATCCTTCAAAATCAGAAACCGGCAAAAGTAAGTGCTAATAGGTCAAATTAAATCACAGCATAATAATAAACAACAGTGTCTATGAAGATTCTCAGTCATCCAGGTCATAGTTATCCAACGAAGGTTAAAATCAAGGGCAACTGGACTTGGTTGAAGATACTGGAAGACGTTTCGTCCCTCATCCAAAGGACTTCTTCAGTCCTGACTGACTGGCAGGGAAACTCAGCTATTAACCTCAGTGGGGTCGTTATCCCGGGTCATCGATACCGCTGGTTCATAATACACAATAAACTACAGTATTTCTGAAATTTGAAAAGATGTGCAAACATCATGCTCTTTTACTACAGAGGCTTTTCTCTCCGTGCATTAGAAATCTAGTTGGCCCACTTTGAGCCTCTTATCTCATCTAGTTTCACTGATGAAAGCAAAAACTGCTACAGGCTGCATCTCAAACTAAATTAGACAATATAAATATGTCAGCCTTTGATCAAAAGAAACTTACCAGCTGTGTTTTACAGTAACAATGTCAGTTCATGTAAAAGTATTCTTGGAAATGAAAATCCTAACACACACTTGACATAAATTATATAATAAAATTTCTTCTACCAAATATGGACAAAGTTGATTTCTTCACACATATTCAATGAAGTATACTTTGTGTGTGTTTTGTTTGTTTGACTGCATGCCGGCTGTCCTACCTTTGTTAGATTACACAGCAGTATGATGAGTGCCATCATCCCGCTCTGCCCGATGCTATCCATCTTCCTTTTGGCCATGTCAAAGCTGTTTGATGACTTACCAGCCGCAGATCTGGAATGGATAATAAACAATTAGGCCCCGTCATTAGAGCCACTTCACAGCACTCCTTATCTCTCCCACGGTTTCACTCAGAGACTTTAATCTACTGAAATGTTGCTACAGTTTTTGCCATCGCAGCCAATTAACCAGGGAACAGGCCGCAATATTATTGAAACCTCGACTAATACAGCCCACACCTTACGGCTTATTATATGTGACAGTACCACGATAGAAATACATGAGGAAAAAAAAACATTTTGCTACTTGACGACAAATTTGGATGAAATGGCAGATAGAGACACGTGTAACCAAGTCCCTGTTGGTTAGTGACTGGTCGGTGAGTGAGGTAACCTTCACCTGAGCTACGCATGCTAAATGGAAATGTCGGGCCCTTGTTCCATGTGCTAGCTGCTTTTGGGCAGTTGTTTTTACTTGTCCTGAAAAACTGTCCAGATTCTAGTCACAAAAGTCAAACATGGTGACTGGATCAACAAGTCAACAGTCAGAATCCTCAAATACAACAAAATGTGAGATGTTATCTCCCAAGTACCATCAGCAGCTGCTCCAGCGCAGCGACAATAAAGATTTAACTTGATCTGACCTGTTGTGATCCAGAATCAGCTATTGTAACATAGGCGTGTCTACCCCTTTACAGGCTACATAGGCGTGATGCTACTATTTTGGCTTGGTGATCAGAGAACAATTCCCAGCTGACAAAAGAACCAGTCAAAATCAGTCCAACAAAACCCCATCAATCTAAGAAAGTTCCAGTTCCCTGACAAAAGTCATGTAAGCACAGCTGAGATTTAAAATCCCACCCCCCCCCCTCTCAGTGCTGCTGTGTGTTTTTGGAGCCATATCTCCTTCGCACTCTGTCACAAATCATCCAGTGTGACAACAGTTTCAAAAAGGTTAGTGAGCGTCTTACACGTTTACACATTTCATTTTTTAAAGATGCTGGTTTCTCATCAAAGCAGAATCCCAGAAAGTCGTTTGCAGCAAAGCCGCAGGCCAGTGGGATTTCATGTCACTGCTGCTGCATAGCAGATGAGACAAAATTCAAATGGAAACATATCCCCCAGGTTGTACAAATCTGCTTTGCAAAATGGTGGGTGTACTAATACTCTGGTAGCTTTAGACAGTTTAAGCCTGCTTGTTACACCTAGTGTACAACTATCAAAGAGCTCAGCTCTGCAACTGCTACAGTGCTTTTTGTTCAGACTCTGGAGACTCTGTGTGCCACTTATAGTCAAGCATGTTTTCCTTTGGGTTTGTGTTTGTAGCCCATAGTGGAGGCTTTCTGTCTGGGTGCCCCTTAAATTCTCTTAAAATGTATTTCCTGCTTTTTTATTTGTTATTGTTGCCATAAATACCAAGAGTTCCATACTGGCACATAAGGTAACCAGAACCGGTTGTTAGCATTGCTAGAATACCTGATACAAATCACAAGGCTAGGTTCTTGTGGCAGCAATGCTTTCAGTGTGAAACTATGTAACCAAAAGAGACCGGAGGGATGGGAGAGACCTGAGAGAACCTGAACCCAGGATGACATGCAGGTAGGTACATGGTATTCAGGAGTGGATTACACCTCATTCAGAAGCAAAATTTAATAATGTCTTTCATACCCCAAAGGAACTAGGTCATCCCTTGTGTATGCAATATCTCAAGTCTTATTCACTTTGGTGGAATGGAACAGCTAAACAAACACTGCCATACAGCAGTACATTGCAACCAAAAAACCACCTGGTCATTTTTTTCCTGCTACTGGTGGATACCGGTCATTTTCGTTTACAAGAACATCATTTTTATCAGTTTGTGTGAACTTGTTTTTGTGCCATAAACTGAATGAATCAAATGTATGCAAGTTTTGGGTGGAAAATGTTCAATCTCCCAAGAAAGAAACCTCCCCCATCAGCTTAGAGCTCTGCGTGTCAATAAAGTCGTTTTGCACAGAATCTGGTGAGGACGAAATGCCTGTTTTAAGATAAGCCAAGCCAAACTGACGCTGCGTGTTTATGACTATTTAATAAATTGTGTGAGCATTTGTTTGACGTGCGTTTATAGTTTCGGTGTGGGACTTTGTGACAACTGATAGAAGTGCAGAATGATAGCAACAACCAATGACATCTGGCGCATGTCCAGTATCTGGTTTTACGGTACATCCATTTTATTTATGCTAACTTAGTAATATCCGGAATTAGGAGGCTTCTTTGCTCTTAATGTATTTAGACAAACAACACAGTAACATAACTCGGGTTCTGTGCTTTTAACCCCTTCAGCCTGTTGACGGTCATTGACACAGACACAAGTCATTTCTCACAAACTGCAAAAGCTAACATCATGTATTCTGTGTTAATGTTACAACTGCTATTAGCTGCCATTTCTCCCCAGGATTCCAGCCAGTCAGAGCCAACATGAGTCTATTGTGCCCTCTAGAAGTATGAGGACAACTGCCACATATGAATTTACCTTTTAAAAAGTAATTTAACTGGTTTCCAGCAAGTTGCTTTTACTTTTCCATCCCCCTGACATGTCCCTATTCTCGATTGTGTGTAAACCTGGAAACCTGTCCACAAAATATTTGTAATAAGCCTTATTAGATTTTCAAACAGGTATTTACATCATCTAGGTAGGCGCTTTTTTACATTCAAAATGAAAACCAAAATGTAAATGTTCATCTAACGTTTATATAAATAGTTTGTACATACAACTAAATATACTTGCAATTCTACAGACTACGCAAATAATGCAGTTTTATACAGCTTCAACTTTGTTAACAGTTTGAATATCCATTGTTTGGTGGCCAAAACAAACCATTTTCACAGACGAAAACCCAGTACAGTCTTACAACACACTGAGAGAGGAAAAGGAGGCAAAGCAGGGGGCCGTCAGTCAGCACATCACTGAGAGGTTTGACCCAGTCAAAGTCTCCCTGTAGCTCTATCGCCAGGGGGACTGGCACAGTGCCTCCTGAAGTCTGCTCAGAGTTAAAATTGCATTACTCTGGGGAGCGGAGAGGAGGTGAGGGGGGGGGGGGGTTGGGCTTACTGAAAGTGGGATTGTAAAACATTATGGTGATGTGCAAATTAGAAACAGCCAGGAAAAGATCAGCTGCTCACACATTCATGCAAACACACAAAAATGCACCCGCACACACCAACTGACACACACAGCGCTGTGCTTTGCCAAGTCCCCCAGCTGTTTCTTGGCAACAGCTGTTTTTCATACATTAGCAGACCGATACAGAGGATATATCTTGTCAGATGGCAGCACAGAACAGACGTTATAATCATAAAGAATCAGAATTATTTCCAGATAGCTTCTGCTGCTTAGCTAGCTGTGATTTGTTTCTCATCCCATTTTCTTCGGCTATTGCTTCTTTTTTTAAGTGGTCATTTAACATTTATAGGTGCTAGCGAGGAAAAAAAAACTGCTGACCCCTCCCATCTAAATGGAATCCATTTGTTACGATGGGAATTTCCAGCATGACATTTTGTTCACTTCTGTCATAAATACCTTGCTTATGAAAGAAAAAAACCACATGTTATATCATGACCAACTCCAGACCGGCTTTCAATGATAAAACTTTGTTTAGTGAATACCATCAAATAATTGTGGCTCGTCTGAAATACCTTTGTTCCAGACAAAGACATATTATTCTTTTTTCAGTTCTCTGAGAGACTAAGTTTAAAATAGACACATTATTACATAGAGAATATAGTTTCAATTCAGTGCCCCAAACCAAACACGTCTCCTACTCTTATACAGTATGCAGCTAATTTATAATAACCATTTACACTCACTGGCCACTTTATTAGGTACACCTTTTGGTACACCTTTTGCCTTCAGAACTGCCTTTAAGATGATTTGAGCTTTGTGGCATGGTCCATTATCCTGCTGGAAGTAGCCATCAGAAAATGGTACACTGTGGTCATAAAGGGATGGACATGGTCAGCAACAATACTCAGGTAGGCTGTTGTGTTTAAATGATGCTCAGTTGGTACTAAGAGGCTCAAAGTGTGCCAAGAAAACATCCCCCACACTGTTACACCACCTCCACCAGCCTGAACCGCTGATTCAAGGCAGGATGGATCTATGCTTTCATGTTGTTTACGCCAAATCCTGAACCTACCATCTGGATGTTGCAGCTAAAATCGAGACTCATCCGACCAGGCAATGTTTTTCCAATCTTCTGTTTTTGGTGTGTCTGTGAATTGTAGCCTCAGTTTCCTGTTCTTAGCTGACAGGAGTGGCGCTCGGTGTGGATTTCTGCTGCTGTAGCCCAGCTACTACATGAATATTCTTTGCTAATTTGAGCTTAAAGCTAAGATAGGCACAAGACTTGATTATCTGGCTGTTTGGGTCTGCTTCATCCAACCATAAACCAGTGCTAACTGTGGGTGGTCCACTATTATCTGTAGTACCTCAGAGTGTTTCGCAGAAGTGGTTAGTCATGTACACTTTGCACAAGAGCTGACATCACCTATTATATCCGCCGGCAAGCAGAAAGATACCTGGGAAAACAGCCTGTGCATAACAGCTGTTGTCTTCTCGCCCATTGCCAGAGCTCAGCCTGTCCTTCTCAACTCCCAATGTCCCTGCAGAGATGTTGTGCTGTGCTGTAAACATCCTTACAGGATGTTCGGCGCCCCATACTTCAAGTTCCGCTCAGTGGTATTCGGATGTCCATTAGGCTGGTGAGGGCCTATAACATCATTATACCCCATTCTATAGCAGGAAATAGACGTAACTACAGAGTATTTGCACTGTGTCTCTGGTTGTTCATGTTGCCATTCTACTTCCCACCAACACATATTGCTGTACATTTAGTGCATATTGCAAAGTGACCCTGATTCTTGAAGCAGTTTTTATGAGAAATAGATTATACAGCAGTTTGTCTTTTAAGGTGGAACATTTTAATTAGCATGGTCTATCATCTAGCAGTTTTACAAGAAACTGCTAGATTTTTTATTTGCAATTAAAACATTGCAAATACTAAGCAAAATTATCTC